GGTCTCCAATGTGTTTGTTATTTAGCATGAAACTGGGAACAACACAGATCTTTTTAAATTAAAGGTTCTCTTAAATAGGCATCCATCTTCTGCAAACATGATGCTCCTTTTTCTCCTTGACTATATACATAAGTATTTAACTCCTAGATTTGCGTATTTATTTATACTCTGTACTGTAGTAAAATATGCATCGTTTTCATAAAGATTTGCTGGCAACAATCAGATTGACATTCAAATATAGCGGCTAGCTGAAAGCTTTCATGTGCCTCTGGCGGACTGATTGCTCCCCACCAGGACCAGGTCTCTGTGCTACTCTTGTTCAAGATAATTAGTATGGATATCTTGTATGGAAACAAAATCCATCTGATTTGTCCTTTTATTGATACTGTTCTGGTCTATTTAAGCTACTTTTTTTCAAGTTGGGGTGGGGTAAATATCTCTCTAATAATGAAAGCAGCTGTAACCATGTGAAATGAAGCCAGTATTAATACAAATCTACTGCATCTGTTGCTTACCAACACCCTAGATTTGCTTGTTTGCCGGTGCTAAATCTGGGGAGGCCAAGGCAGCGCTGAGTAGCACTAGAGAAGGCAAACCTTTTATCTTCTTCCCTCCCTTCCCCTCAGACCATTTTCAGAGGGAGTTGTAAGGGTGATGAGAGTGAGAATTGTGTTGAGTGAAGGGGGAATCATGGAGATAAGCCGTAGTGATGTTGGATCTGAATGCTGAAGCAGTTCATGAGTCCCAACTCACGTGGTCAGAGCTCTCCAGGGAGAGACTCTTGGTCTTGTGAGGAGAAACTGGGCTAGGAGGACTACTTAGGTTGGAACTGTTTGAAGCTGTAGAATGCCTTGGAGAATCAGAATCCTGCAGCCCAAAAAATGCAGAAGAACATCAATAAGCAATAACACAACGGGAGTAGTAAATCAGTCAGACTGAAGGGGACATATATTTGACCCGCAGTTGGGTGGCTATAAAGGTCTGCACACATTTCCCCTTGTGTTTTCTGTCCAATAACATTCTTTTGCTCAATAATTGCTTTTCTGTGCATTCAAGTGAGTTGTCTAAAACCCAGTTTACACAAGGCATAAATGGTGATGATACACAGAAGAAGCATCTGCCATTGTTATTGTCAAGTGATGGGTATACATCTCAGTAAGGTTTGCAATATTATATTGCTTCTGGACCCCCCAGCTGCCCTTGGACTCCCATATAGCTGTGTTGGCTGGAAACACCTGAGTTTCTAGAAGTCTTCTTTCTAATGTAGACCTGCCACAGTTACTTGTCCCTCTGTAACTTTCAATTGAATGCTAATGTAAAGCACTGTGCATGGACTACTCTTGAGATCATGTTGAAGCTTCAGTTAGTGTAGAATGCACCTGCCCACCCTGCAGACTGAGCTGGCAATTAACTTTAATCTACAACTGAAAGTGCTGATTGCGAGCTACAGAAGCTCTGAGAACTTCAGGGCCTGCATGTTTCCCTGTGTAACAATGCAGAGGCATTTTTGCAGCCATGTTCAGTTTGAACCAGCAGTAGCATGGTGTTCCTTGTGAAGGGCTTCCGACATTGCAATTTCCTCTCTATTAGTCTGATCTTTAGGTTCATCTATTTACTCAGGACTGCCTGAAGAGCATGAAGAGGGGATGCAGTGAGGTGGTGGCTTGGAGAGGTTGTATTTGTACATGCACCTGGAGACTTAGCAAAAGGCATGTTTTATGATTGGTGTAACAGATTAAACGATTTATCTCATCTCCCTTTCAATATTTTTTTATGAAATGCATATAAAGCTTGTCTGAAGAACAAATATTTTTTGAATTGTTACATATTAACTGATTAATTCTAGGCATTCAGTGAACACAAAACCAATGAGTCTTTTCATGACTCATCTGCTTTATGGCTTAACGCTTTCCTACTGCCAAAAACCAAAAGGAGTATTGTCCCTTGTAGCTGCAAAAGGTCAAGTATGTGCAGTTATTTTATCAGGCTACTACATTTATGAGACCTTGATTCCAGGGTGCTGAGTATACCACCTTAATGCCTTTTCTGCACACCTATCCAGTTGTTTAAAGCTGACATAATCTGACCAAAATCCTAAAACAGCAAATCTCAAAAGGCAAACAATAGAAAATGTTATTTTTGAACAATGATTTCTAAGCTTCCCAGGGCCAAACCCTGCTCTGTTGAAGCAGTGCTATTCCAGGTTTACACCGCCAAAACTGACACTAGAATTTGGGCCCTATAAATACCCACAGTTTGCAGTTTTCTTCCCTTCTTTCTTGTTACTCACCTCTCGTTCATAGTCCCTCGTTGGCACATCACTGCCTTGGTCTAAACCACCAGAGGACAGTGAGCCATCTGATGGGGATGCGATAGGCTGACGCTTGGTTCCATAGCTCCCTCCAGAGAATTCTCGCCGCAAAGCACTGCCATTCTGTGCAGATGATCCTGAAAAGTATGGGAATAAAATTGCATCATGGATGTGTATATAAGACACTAAGAAGTTTGCTAGCTGTTACTTTGTTTAGTTTTGCTTTCCTACAGAACCTCCCTCTACATAATCTTACCTCCCTACACTGGATTGCATGGTGGATGAGCTCATGCACTGAACCCTGAAATATCTGGGATGATGGGAGTAAAATTTAATTGTCCATGTCAGCAGCCAAATTTCCAGTGCTGTTATAGTTGACTACTTGGAGCCTTCTTATGCATACAACAACAAAGTTAAAAATAACCCTAACAAAACTTTGGGGGTGAATGGATGATTTGCCATTGACTTCAATGAGAGGCAGGATAAAGCCCTTATGTAATAGTCAAGTCATAGAACTGAGGAACACTATACTAATTCTGATACAATAGTACCATCAAGATATTGTTTAAACCAGCAAACACTATGTGGGATTTTCAAAAGTGCTCACCATTAGTCTAATTGCTCTCATTGAAGCCAATGATAAAACATTTCTATTCGCTTCAGTGGGAACAGAGAGGAGCCATTGTAGAACAACTCCAAAAATCCTGTTCAACAAGCACAGCAGTAAGTGTAGCAAGTATTAGCTTATGTTTTTCCACAGAGCTTGTGGCAAGATGGAGACACTCACTTGCTGCCAACCCGCTACTAGCGCTCATCGATCGCCCTGGTTCTGTGCGGGATTTGGTGATAGATGGGATGCTGACAGAGCCACTGAACATGGTCCGACTTTCCTGAGGCCGAAGATTCTGCAATTCAGGGAGAGACAGAAAGAGAAAGGTTTTTCTTAATTTACTGCTGGGTCAGCAGTGGATGCTACAGGGAGAGTTAAACAAAACCCCCACAACACCCCAATCCCCAAACTTTTCAGAGTTAATTTTCTGGGTGATAAGTCTGCAAATTTGCAGGATACCATTGTGCAAGTAAGTGCAGAGACTGGAGGAACAAATAGCATGAAAGCAAAGTTCAGGATTACATGGACACATGCAGATGACTGAAGGACCATTCTAATAGAATCAGAATTTCCTTGCTGATGCTAACAACGAGCCAGACAACTGGTACAAATTTAGATAATATAGTCAGTTTAAAAAAAAAAGATGCTTAATGTAATGCACTGTTGCTAGCTATAGCTCTCCAAGTAGTACTTTGTTAAAATGTACATCTTTGATGCCATAATTCATGACTTGTATATATTTTGTACGACATGCCTGCAGTGTATTTCTTGTGGCTATATAGATGTATTAGTTCAAACTGTGCTTTCAATTATGCTCAAGTAACTCCACCAGTTTCTGTGGAGTTACTCCAGAAATTCCTGGGAATAGTTAGGAGCAAACTTTGGCGTTCTGTTTTCAGATTATATTGCAGAGACAAGAATATTTACTCTTAACACTAATCAGATGTTTTGGTTTTCTGTAAGTATTTTCTTTTATTATCATCCCAAATTAGGACTCACTCTACTGTTTCCAGTGTGACTGCCTGTCTCTGTATCTTTGGTTGAAGATAGGCATGTACTTATCTTGCTCCCCAGTTGGTTTGCATATAGAACACATTAGGTATATTGATCCTCTTCGCACGAAGGTGAAAACACAGCCCCCTTCTTTAAAAAAAGAACCAAACAATGTATCGCCCTAAGCAGTACTCATTACATTTCTTCTTTAAAATACCACTTCTCCTTATACTTCTTTCTGTCACTAATGCCCATGAAATCTTCATTATACTAAGATAATGCCGCTAAGTATGAAAGAAAATTCACAATTGCAGCTGCCTTCTGAAGCAAGACTGTTACTAAAACTTAAACATTCAGTAAAACAGTTGAAAATGAGCTTTGCCCAACCTTCCTGTGGGCATTTTCTCAGATAGAATCAGACATGTAGTAATTTGTTAGCAAAATATCCTACACCACAAAAAATAAGCAGCTCAGCCTGACCCACACCATTTTTGTGTTAGGGAAAATCCCTAACCCAGACATTCCATTGTTGCAATGCAATTTCCCATTCTCCCCGCCCGAAACTTAGCAGACTCTCCAGCCATTTCCCTTGTACATACAATTATGTTGTCTGTACTGAGTACCATAGCTTATAACCCTTTTATTGTTACATTTAAATACATTTTTCTCACCTATATTTATGTCCACCATTACTATTTATCATATATCTTAGCTGCATGGGATCTCAAATTTACTTTTACAAGACATGAGGAAGGAAGTCAGCATTATCCTGACACTTTTAGTCCCCACAGTAAGAAATGTTAAAGAGCTGAACACACATCTAATGCCACACCATTTTATTAAACAATAATATTTGTCTTTTATTGAATAATAATTTAATATTAAGTTACAGTTATTTTTGTCTAACAGCATGTCAATAATAATACAGGCATATAAATGAGTTTAGAAAGCCAGTGTACAGGGGAAAATGTGAGCTTGAACTATTTCATGCAGTTTGCATCACATCACCCTTTGTGGTTCTCATCAGCTGATAAATAGGTGTATAAAACACATTTCTTTAGCTATATACTTGTTTCCTCCAATAGATTATGTACAATAATTTAAAGCATCTGTCCATTTCTCTAGTTATTTATTATCTATAAAGTGTCTTTTGTCCATGAGTGGATTAAAGTTGGCAATGCAATTGGAACATGTAAAGTGCTAAGAATTATTGTTTGTTACTGCCATTCTTTTTAATGCTGTATTTACAATCAGTCCTACAGTCATAAGAGAGCCTCCTCTTCATTCTCACTTGAGGAAGAAGCAATTCATTTTTAATGTGCAATAAGCAAACAAGAACTGTGATTTTTCCCATGCTTTCTTTCAGCTTCTAACATATTAGAATCTGAGACTTTCGGGATGGAAAAGCCCTATTGATTATCCAGTCTGTCTCCCTGCCAATGTTGGATTATTTCCAACAGTACTTCAGTAAATACCTGCAAGTGTTAAAATGTCTTTCAAATCATTCACAAGACTATCTTGTCCTGCATGGTTTGGATGCTCTTTTTTCAGAAAGCAGTGAACAAATGAAATACATATGACAACATCATTTCACTTATCACAAAACATTCATTGAAGTATCTAGTGCTTGTTCTTGTGCCATCTAGCATGGTAGACAATTTTGATACAGTTTTCAACAACATAAGCATATTTATATTACAGTAACAGTAAAGAGTGCACAAAATGATAAGGAATTAGACTATCGGGGTGTTTGCCTATTGAAGTATTCTGAGACACATCAGGGAAAACCAAATACAGCACCTTGAGTTGCTATATGCTGTGATTAACTGCAAAAGGTGACTCTTTTATGAGATTAGGTGGTTATGATTCTTTAAAGAGAATCAGTATGTTAAATGATAAGGTAGCTAACCTCCTAAACAACAAAGGAGGTAGGGTTGAAAACAAAATGTTGATCCTTGGAAAGAATACCTTCATTTTAAATAGATCACCTGTAATACAGTAAACTATTAAAGTTGGCAGGCACAATATTTGAGTACCACTGTTTTCACTTATATTTGTTTGGAAAGTCCATATAATCCTTATATGCGTTTATCCCCTCAGAGCAACTGTTTCATTGTTCTTTCTTCTAAAAATCAATGCCACTATAGAACAAAAACAACAGTAACAAAATAGCATACACACAATGCTGACAAAAAATTCACGTATGGAAACAAACAGCATCCAAAAGCAGTGGTTATGAAACAGCAAAGAGGAGCAATTTAAAAGTCGTTAAGGAAAAATAACAGCCATTTTTACACAAATTCAAACCCCAGCATGTAAAATCCACCACCAGCACTGAACCAGCAAAACAAACAAACAATGGATAGAAGATATGCCTTTGAAGTGAAAATAATTGCAGAGCATGACTGCTTGCAGAACAGTTGTGATAGAGAGTGAAAGTCCCAGTTTAGTTCAGTGCATCAGAATGGAAATCATGATCTTAATCAGAGAATGAAAGACACGGACAGGGTCGCTACTCTGCACAGATACAAAGATTGATAGATCTGTGTAAGGGTGCATATCTACTGGCTTTCCTTCTGCTCCTTGACGATGTCTACTCCCAAAATGATACCTCCACGTGGTCTTTCCTAATCTACCACTTTCAAAATAAAACTACACCAGAGAGTCATTGTACATGGGTCTTTCAGCACCATAGGTGGGTGAAATGTGTCCCTACAGCATATTTCCATTGTATTTTCTAAGTAATTTCCTACTGGCATTTATATTTACCCATCACTTAACAAGCCTTGTCTTACTATTTCCCCACTGTAAAGGTTATTTTGGTCATAAGAAATCGTAAAGCAGTATATGGGATCCCATTTTTTTAATTCAAATTGTTGATTCCATCCTATTTTTCTTGTACCATGCCCACTGCTGTGGTATCTAAGCAGTCACCAAGTTCCATGAGGAGTACTAGCATGGTTAAAAAACCTCAAACACCCCCTGGTTCACACTTGTACCATTTTTCCCCTCAAGCCCCAGCAAAGCTCAGAAAATACATTCCTTCCTACAAGCCAAATGTCCAAGGAGTGCAAACTGAGCCTCATGCAGAGGGCTTCTCAGTCATTCTGTGTCACTTCACTTTTATACTGGTGTCATATTACTGATTTCAGTGTAACTGCAATATTAGTAATGTGAGTGCTCTTCATAAGAAAGGACAACATTTTTTACCAAGACAGTAAGAGTCCAATCAAGCAGCCCTCAATGATTTCAATGTGATTGCTCTCATGTGTAAGGAAGGGATGCAGGATTGGGTCCTGATGTGTAACTGCTTACTGAAATACCCCAGCATTTTGTAAGTGTAGAAAATAGCATGTGCAGCAAAGGGGATAGTCATAGATGCAAAGTGGGACTTCATTGGGACGTAAGGCTTGGCCTTTAGACAAAAATGAATTTAAACCCTATTTAATAAGGATGTTATTACTTTTTTGCATTAACTTGGGTGGTATTCTCATACGCACCATACAACTTCACTCAACAGAAAAAACCTGAAGTGTAAACACAGACTGACCAAATCAGCTGCAGATGACCTCCAAAATGCTGCTGTTTCATTTTTGTGTCTAGGGTTGTGATGGTCAGGGCTTTGCCGACAATGACAACTGACCATATGTTCAGGCCTCAGGATTTAATTGTGCATGTCTGTCCACTTACGAGCCTCAATTTTTTCCTGTTGACAACCTTGACTCTCTACTGCAGTTTTCTCTCTTTTTATTTGAAAAGAGTAAATTTCCCTCGGGGGTCCAAATTCTTGTGAATATTACACATAGGCACAGACCTGAAAACCCTTCCAGCAACAGGAACCTGCAGCAGATTCTGGTTTAGGTTACCCAAACCTGCAGAGACTCTGCTTTGTAAGCCCATTGCAAGAGAAGCAGTAAAAGGGCATTCCAGGCAGTCTAACACTCATGGTTTTGCATTTAGGTGCATAAAGAACCTGAGTCCAAAGCCCTCTGCAGACAACAGGAGCCCTTTCACTGACTGCAGCGAGCTTTGAACCAGCTTCATGCAACCCTGCTCAAGCAATGGGCACTATATGTAGAATTTCCCTTGCAGATTATTCCTGGTGCTACTGGAGAGAATCTGGCAGAACTGGAGGCCAGAACACTGTGTTTTGCAAGGTATGTTTGTGTCCATTTTATTATTATTATTTGTATTCCTATCCATGGACTTCACAGCGCTAGGTGCTGTGCAAACGCAGTACAAAGCAACTTTGGCAGGCCCCAAAGATTTCCCCATCCAAATCAAAGTGCCTATTCATCATCTCTTGTCCTACCTCAATCTCCTCTTAAATATATAAAATGTTGTGGGATTTGCTTTCTCCATAATCATGTTCACACTATTTTTATTTTTTTCCTTAGTCTCTCCCTTTCTGTATCATCTTGTTCTAGATTTGTCTAATCTAGGGGTCTCCAACTTTAAGCACAAGATCACTTTTTGAATTTAAGTGCAAACCAGGATCTACTTCAACCCAGATACCCTTGCCCCACCTCCCTTTGTGCTCCTTCTCTGAGGCCCCACCCCTGCTCACTCTGTCCTCCCTCCTTCCCTTCCCCCATCCTTCTTGCCTTTCACAGGGTTGGGGCACAGGCTCTGGTCTTGGGCTAAGGGATCTGGAATGAGAGAGGAGCTCTAAGTGGAGCCTGGGGCAGGGGTACAGGAGGGGGTTCATGACTTGGGCAAGGGTTTGGAGTTGGCTCCAGCTGGGCACTGCTTACCTCAGGTGACTCCTGGGTGGGGGTGCAGTGGGACTAAAGCATGGTCACCCCTGCCCTGGCCCACTCCCAAAAGCATCCAGCAAACTCCCTCCATCCAAAGCCCTGTTGTGCCCTCCTCCTCTCTGTGAAGACAGAGTACAGGACATCAGTGCCCCTCCTCTCCCTTCCCTGCCCTGCACCCCATGCCCGTCCCTCCTCTCCTCTGTGGAGATGGGGCATGGAAGGAAGATGGGCACCCAGATATCAGCACCCCCTCCTCTTCTTTCCATGCCTTGCTCAACAAGCAGGAAGCTCCCAAGGGGTGGGAGTCAGCTCCAAGGCAAAGGGCGAGGGCAGGTGAAGTGCTGGCACTTGATAGCCTCTTGGCCAAACCAGTTAGGATCACCTGTCAGGGGCTCCAAGATCTACCAGTAGATCCCGATCTACTGGTTGGTGACCACTGGTCTAATCTATCTAGGCTGCAAACTCTTCAGGGCACCAAACAAGTCTCTTTTAACCTCTGTAAAGAGCCAAAGTCCTGGAACACACAAATGTTTATTTTAAATAAACTGCTAAAAAATGTGGCTTAACATAGGAATATCCTGAGTCCTTTTCTAGCCCTCACCTACAAGAACACAGAATATCTTTTCAATTCCTGACTGCTAGCAGATGAACACTGTGTGGAATATAAAGCTCTATAATTTAATATTTCACACCCCTTTTAATAATCACAAAAAGAACATTCTCATAGGAAAAAGTTTCAGTCCAATAGTTTTGCTCCTTAATATTTTAATTTATGAAAAAATGTTTCTTGTTGTGTCACCAGCAGTAGAAAACATCAGGATGGCATGAATACAAAACACCTGGGAGAGGGTTAAGAGGTGAAAGAAACCATTCATAAAATTTTGTTTCTCCAATATTATTAGCCAGGCAAAGGAAAACCACACAGTGTTAGCACAGCAAATAACCAACTCAGCCGTTCATACCCTCAGAGTCATAAAGGCTGGTGTACCAGGGACAGAGTGCAGAGATGGGGAGTATGCAGGGTTTATGGAATCATAAAAGAGGAAATTTTCAGCTGAATTAACAGTCATGTGATAGATGTGCTCGAAGTTACTTGGAGAGGAGATCAGACTGAAGTGATGATGAGGGTTTGGATAAGGAAAACATGGCTATCAAAGACAACAGAGAAAAATATAATGAGGGATGGTTTCACAGGACGTGAAATTACTAGCAAACACTATCTGCAAGGATATGCATAATTTGAAAGACTGGATCAAATTCACAGTAAGATCTTGTCTGCTGTACTGCAATAAGTTGACCTAAGTTATGCAACTCCAGCTATGGGAATAATAATAAATGATATCTACACCACACTGCATCAAGAAGAGACTGTCTCCCACTGACTTACTTTTGTTCCAATGGACTACTGAGAAAGTGCTCTGTGGTTGATTTAGCGGGTCTTCACTAGCCCCACTAAATTGACTGCCTCAATATCAATCACAGCAGCATCTATCTCTGGTAAGTGTATACATGGTCTATGTAGCCTGCTTGCAAAAAAATAGGCAGATCTTTATGATTACCCTTCCAACCTCCTTATCAACTTCTTTATATTGCTACCCACGTCCCTGTCACCCTTGATACTGCCGTAAACTTAAAACAAATCAAACTTATAACTCACTGGGAATGGATTTTTAATATTTATTATTATTTAATACTTCAAACAGCACCATAGGTGTGCAAAGTGCTTTACAGACAAAGGAAATGCATCAGATCCCTGCCTTGAGGAGCTTACAATCTAATTTAGACATAACACAAACAAGGGAACATGAAAGATGAGATGGTAAGGGAGGGAAGATTTGGGGGTACGATAGTGAAAAAACATAACACTTGCTTCTCATTATGCAGACATTCTGAGGATTTCATTTACAAATACCAATCAGCATATCTTTAGCTTCAGGAAACAAAGTGCATCATCAGGGCAGGAATGGAGGTGAGCATGGAAACATGAACTGGTTAGTTTCAGGCTAGTGGGATGAAATTTACCCTGTATAGAAGAACAGGGCAAGTCCTATGCATCAACAAAGATCCAAGACCTATGGGATATTAGAGGTCTCTCTATGCAGCAATGAATTACACCCTTAGTACATGAGGCAGAAAGATAAAACTACTTGTACATCTGAATATAGGTCAACTCAACACTGTTAGGTGCTGTGCTCTCAAAATGTAAAATACAGACAAATGAAAGAAGTGAATTAAATCTGCAAATTAGACAAAACCAGCATCAGTAATTAGCCTCCAAAGAATGTGCTAGCACAGGTGCTTTTTGTTCTTTGAAGCCAGGTTTATCTGAATGTTTTAAAATCTCATTTTTCTTCCATCTACAGAATCAATCCATACGTGATTTC